TGATCAGTCTCAATAATCTGGACTCAAAATCTCAGGACGTTATTTGCAAGAACTTTCTGTTTGGTTTTTGTCTAATTCCTCTAATATTGAACTTATTGTCACATCTGAACAACGTGTGCAAATATTTCCACTCACTGACCTTCACCATGTAAAATGACTGAATCATGCAGGGGTAAAAAAAATAAGGACCTCCCTGCTATAATAAAGTTCCTGTCACAATTAAACTCCTGTTGGGCCTGGAGGGTGAAGTCTGCCGTCCTCTCTCTCTCTTCCAAAGCACTTTCCTGCACATTCAGTAAATTTTCAGCAGGCACACAGCTCTAATCTCATCAGCTGCGGATACATATTTGTGGATCCCACCCTTCTGAGTTAATGAAAGCATTTGTGTCACTTTAATGTAAAGCCTCGCAGGTCTCACCCATCTGTCTACAGTGTTGCTGTTACAGTGTGTGTCATCAGAGTCTACAACAGCAAATTACAGCTTATTAGTACCAATACCAGCAGTGACAACATTTATCACGGAAAACATCTCCTGCTCTCCCTAATTGTCCCCCTCAGGGCCCCACCGTTATGTGGGCCGGTATCGACGGCCAGGCAGTCATTAGGACATCACACTTGAGCTGACGAGCATAGAATTCAGGGGACGTGTCCACCCTGATTGGTTAATTTGATGTGAGTGGAATGACACTTCGTCTGGAGCCGATGAGGTGTTTATTTATAGTCTTGGTGAGGATATCCAGACACCCGCCGTCCGTTTTCTGCTCCTATTTTTGAACCCGAGATAGAGAGCTGCCCACGAGGGCTGGGGGCGCAAAAGCGAGGCGGGCCGGGATATGAAAAGCCGGCAGGGAATCGGGTGCCGGAGGTGGAAAGGGCAGTGCATTTTATGTGTCAAAGAACAAGAGCGAGTCGCCGGTATTCAAGTATATCTGTTAGTCTCTCCCGGCCCGTGAGAGGGAGTGACAAAGGGTGCAGGTCATCCCGGCCTGTCTGAGCTTCTTTGTGTTTCCTCAACAATCGGATCTTGTCTGATACAGATATGCTACCTGTCTGTCACTTCTACTCACTGATATTTTGTCTCTTTTGTCTGTGTGGTCAGTTCTGTGTTAGGCACCTTCACTTTAGTTTCTGTCTGTGTGTGTGTGTGTGTGTGTGTGTGTGTCCCTGTTGTCAGATTGTGATCTGCATTCAGGCGGAATTGTCCCTGCTGCTGCCCTTTGTTGGTAGCGATGCCCCCCTCCTGCCACCTTCCACTTCACACTGCTAACATCCTCCGGGAGTGACAGATAGAAATCTAGAGTCTAAGCCGGGCTCTCTCAGTTGCTTAGCACCTGCTCAGCGGCTGCTCCCAAATGCTATGATCTTTTAAAAAGGCTTTACCTGCAAACTCTGAGACACCTCCCAGCCCACATCCCCCATCGCCAGGTTCCCTTTGCTACCTGCTCTCATTACTACTGTGGAATCGCACACTAAAGCAATTTGCCTCAAGTGTCCACAGTCCTGTGTCTTTCACCCTCACACCAGGAGCTCGCGTCCCATCTTTTTTCACACTGAGGACCATGAGCGTAAAATCATTGTTTTTTTTCCATTTGTTTCAGTGATCAAGCCTAACTTTTCTCTCTTGCCAATTAAAAAGCTTTGATGTCTATCTGTGGAATGGTTGAGGCTAGAGAAGCATCTCTCTTCTGCTGCCTCCTGGCTACCAAAGGCCAGACTTGTGCTGGCAGAAGATAATCAGCCGTTCTCACACAAACAAGATAACAAAAAAAAAAGAGAGCAAGCGAAGGATTTATTCCCATTCTGCCTGTCAGGCAACCCACTGAACAGACAGGGGAATTATTTTGGCAGCAACACTAATGTGGTGACGGTTGTTGTTTCCTAAACTGATTTCCTTAATCCTCCACTTGTTCCACGCTTTGTAAACATGGGAGCCTGATTTTGTAATCTGGGAGGTCCCATTGACGCACAGACACACATGCACGCACACACACTACACACACACACACCAACAACTTATCTCTCTTACCCCCTCCTCGTCAGCCACTGCCCTAATTAGTCAGAATTAAGACGAATGCCTGGGCCTCCCACGATCAATTGGTATCGAGCGGACCTTCGCTCGCCCCTGCCTGGGGGCCTCTCTCGGCCGGCAGATCATTTATATCAATCGCTTTTGTTTTTCTTTCCTTCCCCCTTTCCACTCTTCCGACCACCAAGCGCAAGGTTTGGTCTATTGCTCCGCGTGCAGAATAGACGGCAGGCAAAATGGCACAAGTCTGGCACAGTAACAGCTACATATTGATGAAACGGGGACACGTGGGCTTCAGAGAAACACTCAGGGTCACATTGTCATGTCACATGAATGCATGTATGTGTTATCATATGCATTTGTATCCGTTTGTGTGAGTATTTAAGCAGGTGCACAGGGGTTTTCATTTTTTTTTTTTATGCCGTCTCCTTTTATCTAACAAGCTCACCCTTTAGAGGAGCACTTCCTCTTCTCAGCCCTTTGCTCTTCTTGTTGCCCTTCTCTCAGATAACTCCCTCCTCCCTCCTCCCTCTCTCTGCCTTCATTACTTGTTATTCTGGTTGAGGACAAGCTTTATGTTTTCCAAGTTTTTTATCGACTTGGCTTGTTTGGACCAAGTTAATAATCAGTGCAAAAGGAGATTTATGTATCATTCTCTCTCTTATTTGATATATGGTGACTCTTTTCATTGCTTTTCATTGTGCCTTCTTGATTCTAGACAATGTGCATGGATAGAAGAAAGAAAGAACACAACGGCGGCTTAAAAACAAGTTTCTTTTTTTCGAAACAAAATATATTTGACATGTAGCTTTTCTAGCGGAGATCAGCTGCTTCAACCTGAATTGCTGCTTGTTTCCTCTCCTCTTTTTTCTCCTGCATAGCGATACACTGATTTGGCTGACCTCTCATGTCCCACACTGGGAGAGCAGTTTTGCATTTCATCAAAAAAACATTCAGCAACTTAAACACTTTAAACTTTCAGTGCATTTCAGGTGCACATTCAGGTCAGAATGATGCATACAGCCCTTATCTCCCTGGTTTCGTTCTCACCACTTCTCTGTGAAAGTATTGTTTTATGTGTCTCCAAAACCATTGTTTACTGCATGAAATTTTTTTTTGTCTTGCTGCGACCTGCTTCTTTATTTCTTGTTTTTCTACCTGACTGCCTAGACTCTCCTCCTGCAAGTACTGGAGAAATTCTTGTTCCTGTTATTCCTGCATTAATCTCAGGTCCACTCCGACGCAGCACCTTAGGGAAATTCATTTATAGGACAAATTAAATAGAGAAAAGGAAAGGGTAAAAAAGCACACTGTTATTAGTTCCTTTCTCCAAGGTTAATGGTTCAGTAGTGAACTGCCACTACAACGCACAAAGAAGCAGTTTGTCCTCTGTGTGTGTCTCTATTGGTCACTCAGTACTTTGTCGCACTATATGCCAGTGATACATGAGAGTCTCAGATACTTACTACTTTTACCCCGGAGGCAATCTCAAATCTGTCAGTTCGACTGCCTCTTCATGTTGCATGCTTTGTGTGCACACCTGCCGCCTTTGTGATGTTGCAGAGACCAGCGATGGGAGTCCTGCATGTATGCGGTGCCAAGCTTGGATGGTAGACCACAGCACTTCACCCATGCACGAGTTGGCAGCTGGCTTCGCGGTCCGTGGCCTCCATTGTGCACAGCCCGAGTGCGTGGCGACATGCCTTTGTTGTGATCCACTTGGAGCTTAGTCCATAGAAGTAAACTTGGCTAACTGACTTAAGCTATGTGGTTAAGCTAAGATGAACCTCAGGCTACAGTTTAAGCTCA